AAAAAAGTGAATTCTGGGATCCCTGGGTGGCGCAGCGGTTTGGCGCCTGCCTTTGGCCCAGGGTGCGATCTTGGAGACCTGGGATCGAATCCCATATCGGGCTCCCGGAGCCTGCTTCTCCCTCTGCCTGTGTCTCTGCCTCTCTCTCTCTCTCTCTGTGTGACTATCATAAATAAATAAAAATTTTAAAAAAAGTGAATTCTTATAAAATCCTTAAAAAATATACTTGTTCCCCTACCTTGATTACTCTGCAGATAGAGTATTTGTCATTTTATGCTGTTTTTCTTTTTTTAAAAATATTCTTTATTTAAATTCCATGTAGTTAACATATACTGCATTATTAGTTTCTGAGGTAGAATTTAATGATTCATCAGGTGCGTGTAACACGCAGTGCTCATCCCATCCCGTGCCCTCCTTCATGCCCAGCACCCAGTGACCCCATCCCTCCACCGCCTCCCCTCCACCGGCCCTCAGTATGTTTCCTAGAGTTCAGGGTCCTTTATGGTGTGCCTCCCTCTCTTTATTCATCTTATTTTTTCCTTTCTTTACCCTGTGTTCATCTGTTTCTTAAATTCCACATATGAGTGAAATCATATGGTATTTGTCTTTCTCTCATTAACTTACTCTTTATGCTTTTTTTAAAAAAAAGATTTTATTTATTTATTCATGAGAGACACAGAGAGAGAGGCAGACACAGGCAGAGGTAGAAGCAGGCTCCCCGCAGGGACCCCGATGCGGGACTCAATCCCAGGACCCCAGAATCACACCCTGACCCAAAGGCAGATGCTAAACCGCTGAGCCACCCAGGGATCCCCTTTATGCTTTTTTCTTGAAAGAAAATATACTTTTAAAAAATTGAGCCAGCAAATTAATTGTGCTTCTCTGCCTCTTCCTTTTCTGCCCCCTTTTTCTTCTTCTTTTTATTCCTTACGGTTTTAATTAAATTCGTATACAACTGGCTATTTACTCTTCCACTTTCTTTATTAAAAGTTACAATTAGTCAAGATTCAGTAGTTAGATGCTACAGTTGTCAGATTTATTATTTCTTTCTCCACTAAATTGTTAGGTTTTAGAGATCTTCCAAAATGACCTTTTAGTTTTTAATGTTTCCTTGCTTATCTCAGGTTAACTTTATGATTATTTTCAACCCTTGGTTTATTGTAGAATAACCAATTATCTCATTTCTCAATTTTTCCTCTCCTTTTGTCTACTTGTGATGAATCCCCATGGTTTAATCTGTAGCTAAGATCAACAGTATCGTGATATGGTCTCTTTCTTCAAAATTGGGTATTTCTTAATCAGTTCTACGTCACTGATACGATATTATAAAATGTATTTGTACAATTTCCCATGAGTACATAATTTTGATGGGCATCTCCCCCCTCAGTTTCCTTTTCTCCACTTTTCTGTGTAGAGTGATCTTGGGTGATCTTGATACGATCTAACCTCTTGATGAGGTTAGAGGTGTGCATGTCATTTAAAACCCAGTCTGAAAATAAAGGGCAGTGTGCATGTTATTCAGCTCTTAAATTGCCCTTGTTGTGTCTTCAGATGCTCTAAGAAGCTTTCAAGGAAAGTCTAAGGATTCCTGAAGGGTCCGCGAGACCCTCCTTTCAGAGGGTCTGTGAGGTCAAAACTGTTTTGTCATAATATGAAGGAATTTCCTTTCACTTAGGAAAGTACGATGGAATTTTCCAGGGTCTGTATCGTGTGTGATTTTACAATAGACAACACAGAAGCAGATCGGAGAATATATTAAACAAGAAATCAAAGAAATTTCTAAAACTTTAAAACAACGACAGCACAGCACTCGTTACTTTTTTTGTTTTAGAAAATAGTTATATTTTTATTAGAAAATATTTATGTTACTATATCATGAGTTTATTGCTTTTTAAAAATAAAGTGTATTTTTTTAATTTCTCAGTTTTAACCATTAACATAGTAACTAAGGTTAGATAGAACTCATGTAAGCAAAAGCTCTTGGAGGCTCTCAATATTCTTTTTTACTATAAAGGGGTCCTGAGAGCAAGACGTTTGAGAACTGGGGCTCTGAAAGTGTTGCAGCTTCTAACAATCGTATTTTCTTGGGGGGAAGACAAAAGGTCATATTCCACGTTTTCCTTTTTGCTTGGCCTTCTAGCATGAGGTACTGTAAAAGGTAAAAATACTCACTGTTGTTTAAAGACTATCAGTGGGTCCAAGCAAAAATAAAAGAGTGACTCCTTCCGTTTTGTCCGTCAAATACATGTAAACGTCTCCTACCAAATGTGTATGTGATTATATGTCAACTTTTAATAGTCTCTCTACAGCAAGAATTTATAGCAAATGATCTCATTTCTCAATTTCTGCCTATATTTCTAAAAGCCAGGATCGTGACCTTCATGATTTCCTTGCTTTATTTTGTTTTTAAATATGTTCCTCCTTAGTCTGTTATTTTCCCTCAAATTTTTCTTCTGCTCTCTGGCCCGGCTCTCCTCTGTGGAGTGCCCCATGGTGTCGTTTAGTTTTGTTTTGTCTTAGTTTGGACTTAGAACAGCAAACTCCGGCTTCTGTCCCGGAAGGCCAGGCCGGTGCTCGGGCCAGTGCTCAGCCCGTGTAACCAGTCCCCGCGGGGCCGGCGCTCGGGAGTCCCGGCCACTGCCGCGTGGGTCGCTGTTCCCAGCGCCCTGGCCGACTGCGACGGGCTGCGGCCCGAGCCTGGGTCCCGCCTGGCCTTCGCCGTCAGAGCCCGCATGTGCGTCCCCGCGTGTCCGGCCCCGCGTGTCGGGGTCCTCCCACCGCCTTCTGTGGCCTGCGGCCCGCGGCTTGCGGCCCGGCTGCTCCCGGGACTGTCACACTCCACGCCGCAGAGCTGCCCAGACTCGCCCGGGGGTCGAGGCCATGACCCTGCAGCGGGAGGCGCGGGCCCCGTGGGTTCTCGCGGGCCGGGCTCGGGGAGCCCCTGGGAACCTCTTCCTTCCACCAGCGCGGCCTCGGCACCTGCGACTGCCAGGAGCCCTGCCGCCTCCTCCCGGTGCCCGCCTCCTCCTCCCCGTGCCCGCCTCGCCCATGCCTCCCGGCAAGCCTGCGACCAGGTGGCGCGGCCCCAGCAGGCAGCAGGCCCAGGGCCTCCGTCCGGCCCCCCACGCACCCCCAAGCCCGCGAGCTGCCCGCAGCCCCGGTCAGCAGCTCAGCCTGACACCCTGTCCCTGACGTCTCCACCCAAACCTTCTGTGTTTCTCAAGTGAGCTGCATATGACTCCCTGTCCCCAGACCACTGAGTGACACCTGGCAGGCCCCACACACTGTGACCTCTGCGCTGCCCACTTCTCTTACTTGCCTTGCAGAGAAACAAAAGACTTCTTCCCTCCCCTAGACTGAAAAGGAGAAAAACTGAAGTGCCCCAGCAGTTTTTTCTTTTAACCTCAACAGAAAATTGGGCAAAGGATATAAATGGGGAGTTGATGCAAGAGGAAAACCAAAAGGCATGTATTATAGCAGTAATCAGGAAAAGACAAACTAAACCAAACTTAAGATGCAGTGTTTACACTGTAGCTCCACAAAAGTTAAAAGTACAGATTTGGTGAAGATGTCAGGAAAACAAACACATTGTTTGTGTGAGTAAATATTGATGGAGTCTTTTAGGAGAATGATTTTGCAACATATGTAAGAATTTAAAATATGCCTTTTGACCCCACCAGACCTGCTTCCAGCTGCCTGTCCTAGAGAAACACTAGCAAAAACACCCAAATACCCAAGTGCTAGAAGACTTATTACTGCATTATTTGTAATTTTGTAAAACTTGACTGTTGATCAGAAAGGGACTAGCAAAATAAATTATGATGCATCCAACAAAATGGATGCAACTGTTAAGTAGAATAAACTGTAGTGATTTGTGGGAAAGGTTTCAAAGCCATATTGTTAAATGAAAAAAAAGCAGTGTCGAAAATTAATAGTAATCCTACATTTATGTAAGAAAATGGAAAAATCAGGAGTATCTCCTTGCATACATATATTCATATTTGTGAATTGATAGAAAAACTTGCAAACCACTTCATAGTGAGGAGTTATTACTTTTGGAGAGGGTCTGAGACAAGGGGAAGCAGGATCAGGTAGGACTTCCACATTCACAGTGAGAGGATATTACATGGTGATAACACATAATTTACAAAATAACTTAAAATATAATAAAATGAGTAGGGTTGCTACAGGCATTCCATAAGATCATCTCAGATATGCCACTAGGTATTGATAGTTGGATTTACTAATCCTGAGAAAGGCCTAAGAGAGCATTCATCACCTTTATTTTTTTTAAAGATTGTATTTATTTATTCATGAAAGACAGAAAGAGAGAGAGAGAGAGAGAGGGGGGGGGGCAGAGACACAGGCAGGGGGAGAAGCAGGCTCCATGCAGGGAGCCCGAAGCAGGACTCGATCCCGGGTCTCCAGGATCACACCCTGGGCTGAAGGCGGTGCTAAACCACTGAGCCACCTGGGCTGCCCCAATCATCACCTTTAAACAATATTTATCCTATTAAGGATCGTCCTCTATAATAATGACTCCCATCTAAAATTCTTGTTCAAACAGTAATTATAAAGTCTTCGCTATGGTTGGGAGCTTCTAGGATGACACATACAATCATACTTTTCAGATAATAAGCCAGACAAATTTGCATATACAGAACCTTGACTTAATATAATAATTAGCAGATTTGAACTGATATGTTAATATGCATGAAGAGAATTGCAACTAATATTCTCTGAGGAGCAAATATTTTATTTTTGGCAGTTGATTTTATGCACATTAAACTGTATTTCGCTTTTAGGTAACTGTATATAAGCTGTTCTTGAATTATGAATAGTATTTTCCTAAATGGTGTTTATTTTTAAATCATCATATGCATGTGTGGTTGAATCATATGACATAGTAAAGATTATTCTAGTTCTGAAAAGATTAAACATAAATGTTGGAACCATAAATACAGTTACTGGAATGTTAATTCATTATGTTCCCTATTTAGTACCTACATGAAAATGGGATTGTCCATCGTGATCTCAAACCAGAGAATCTTCTCTATGCAACTCCAGCCCCAGATGCACCACTAAAAATTGGTGAGGACGTTTCCAGAAATCTTATGACCCCTTTCCTGTAGCAGAAGAAATTTATTCCATGGAATTTTAAAATATTGTTCCATCCAGTTTTGCCTCCATTTAACTTCCTTGGATAGTTGATGTCTGTAAAGGAATAATGCATTGTTTTTGGAGGTCTGTGTTCTTTCCTGATATATTAACCTGGAATCAGTGCCTAGAAATTGGTGCTCCAGGTTGGGACATAAAGGAAACATAGCTCTTAGAAATCACAGGGACTTCAGAAGGTGATGGTGTATTTTGTAGATAAATTTATACAGAAGAAAAGTCACAGATAATATAACCTCTTTTTTTGTTACTTTTTATCACATAAATTAGTTGGAGCTTAATTTTAGATACTCAAGGACTTTGACACAAAATGCTTAGTACATATCAGTGAATTTAGGATCTGACTCACTTGTTTATATGAACAGAGATAACTGAGATCTGTCTTTCCCAGAGTGTCCTCCCTAGAACGCTGGTTCCTCAGCTGAGTGCACAAGCGTAAAATACTATAATTTCCTTTGAGGGAAGTGGCAGTGGTTTGTGGAAGTGCTAAGGTTGGTCAAATAAGTTAGGAAATGCCAACTTAAACAAGATTTTATTTCCTTAGGACTTCCCAAAACTTTAAAAGTACTACTAATTTGTGAACTGACATCTAAATTAGTACATTCTGAGGCTTTTTCCCAAGCCTTATTTGACTCTGGGAACCTTGTTTTTTCTCCCAGTAAGAATTTTGAAGAACTACAAAGGTGAACTTTGTGAACTTCCAAACTATTCAAAGAGTTCTTTAAATCGATGTTTTAGAAAAAAGTATACTAAATGTTACTTTCCCTGTCTTTTCATTTGGAAATAATAATAAAAGAACTTATTTTACAGGCGTTCTCCTTAGCAGAATCTGTGTTAAATCCTCTGAAGGACATTGCTCTTTTGCTACTGGCCTGTATAATGTTAATCTGCTAAGTTCGCTGCATTAGAAGTGTTAACACCTTTGAAAATTAAGTTATACATATCATGGAAGAGCCCAGACAACATAATGTGCTTTATGAATGCAAGAACCCAAAGAAAAAAAAATACATACCCAAGTCCTGCCAGGCGGCCAGCTTGTTCTTGTAATCACTCCTGAAAGGCAGGGAACAGCAGGGAGACTTCCATTTCCTTTGACATCACTTTCAAAGATTTTATCCTTAAAGAAATGTCTTTAAATGGATGGACAGATACTAATTTAGACAGGAGAGGCTTTCTTTCTGAAGGACTTCCTGCCGCTTTCCCTGATAAGGATCAGCACCTCCGTGGAAATGTGGGTTTATCTTTGAAGTCTAAAATGGCATCAATTCTGTACCTGCCTCTCTTGAAGAATGGCCTTGAACTGTTTCCTGATGTTTCCTGAGTGAAAGAGATGTAGCCCAGCAAGGAGACCATAATGGTAGCAACTCTGGGTGATGTTTTACCGGAGTAATATTCTGAGGAATAAATAAAGAGGATATTTGGAAAAAACAAAACAAAACATCGTATTCCTCATCTGAAAGTAAATCCTTTTCCGTGAGATATACTAAGGAATGACTTTATTTTGAAGCAGAATGAACCTTTTGCTATTTCTGTTCATGTCTGTGACATTCACAAAAGCCTGATTTTTATTTTGATCTCTTCCGGTGCATTACCAATTGTACCTTAGAGTTACTGTTTCATAAATTAGACAAAATGCAGCTGTTGCTTCAAGAAGAAACAGCTTATTTGCTAAAAGCTAGGAATTATAGAGAAGAGCATAACATGTATTTGGGAGTCATATTTTTCTCCAATTTAAAGCAAGATTGGAATTATTATTATTTTTCAGTTTCCTCTCCCAGATGAGTGGTCCCCTTCTATATCTGCCCGTCATCAGATACAAAAACAAATTAGTTCATTTTATTTTAAATAACAGAAGTGTCTGTCATCTCATAAAAGCTGAGAAAAGACCTGATTCACTAAATTTTTCTCTTGTGTTGTTAGCTGATTTTGGACTCTCTAAGATTGTGGAACATCAAGTACTCATGAAGACAGTGTGTGGAACCCCAGGATACTGCGGTATGCTCTTTAATACTGATGTTTACTTTTATTGCTATTGGAAATCTATTTTTGTTTAGTGATTTAATTTCTTAACTCCTAATACCTCTAAAGTGTTTACCGTGTGGGGGCTCCTGGGTGGCATAGTCGGTTAGGCGTCTGACTCTTGATTTCAATTCAGGTCTTGATCTCAGGGTCGTAGGGTTGAGCCGCACGTCGGGCTCCACGTTTAGCGGGGACCATGCTTGGGATTTTCCCACTCCCTTACCCTCTGCCTCTCCCCCCACTTTCTCTCTCTGTAAAAGATAAAAATAAGTGTTTTAAAATACTTACAATATGATGCAAGTGTCCATGAGGAAGGCATATAGAAATGACACGCAGACCACTTCTGCATGAAGGGTTCAGTGATGTTGGTTTGAGGGCACCCCTCTTAGGAAAAGAGGGAAAGAGGGAGCCCCAAGGGGTGAGCACTGGGTGCTCTGCACCGGTCTTTGGGGCAGTAGCTCCTCTTGAACCCACTCTGGGGTAGAAGGACAGTTACCAAGAAAGAGGGCAGGGAAATAGCTTTGTTTGTGGTTGGAAGTAGGACGGTGAGCCCTCAGTCACTTTCCTTACCTGCTTTTATTTGGGAAGGTGTGTGAGGAGTTCAGACAGCATTTAGGACAACATAGTCCCTAGTCTGTCCTCACTGAAGCCATACACCTAGCCCTACTAAGACAAGGGCCTGAGGCGGGGTCCCCACCAAGGGCCCCAGTCTCTGGACATGGAATGTGTGACAGTCCTCACACCTGAGAACCACATAACTGACTCGTTTTGACATCAGCCTAAGGCACAGTTAGATATCCACTGAAGCAAATATGTGATTACATTCACAGAACTGTACTACTAGAAGAAGCTGTAAAGTTCACTTACTAACATTCTCATTTTGCGTTCCAGAGCATGACTTTCCCAAGATTCCCTGTGTAGTTGTTAGTGGGCCAGAGATGAGAATTCATGTAGCCAACGTCCTAAAAACAGATTTACAGAACTCCCTCCTCAAAAAAGCAATAGATAAAAATCAATACATTTTCCTTCATAGAAATATTTACCAGTTATTGTTTATAGCTTAAAATGTTTTTTAAAAGCTTTTATTTTTAAGTAATCTCTAAACCCAATGTAGGGCTCAAACTCGTGACCCCAAGATCAAGAGTCACATGCGGAGCCAGCCAGGTGCCCCTAAAATGTTTTTTATTTTAGTGTTTTAAATCCCAAAGTATGACTTGATCATTGTAAGATGTAAAAATCCAAGCATATGTAATCACTCTTAATAGTCTTATGCATTCTCCTTCATCTTTCTCCATGTTTCCTTAGTCACATAAATATTTTGTAAGTTTGCTTTTAACTCCGTTTCCCTAGTGAATCGAAAATATTATTTCCTTGTTTCTCAATTGTCCGTAAACCCAAGTAATTACACAGAATTAAGTATAACCTATCTTTCTATTAAATCTTTACATTGTGCCAAATATTCTTGTTCTGGATCTTAAACTCCTTGACAAGAGTAGTTTTTCAACTGATAAATTCAGAAAACTCCAAGTAACGGTAGCTTGAACAAGATAGAAGTTGCTTTCTCTCACCCAGACCTTTCCTATCTCGCTCTAGCATTCTTTAGCATGCTTCCTCAGGGTCCAGAATGGCTGCTTGAAATCACTCATTACATCTGCATTCTACGAGAGGAAGGGGGGACAAGAATGTACCTTTTCACTATTAAATAGACTTGCTAAAGCTCTATGTCACTTCCACCCACACTTCTTGGCCAGTCCTTGGTTACCGCCCTGCACATTGTGTCGTTTGGCTAGACATGCTGGGCCCCCAAGTGAATTCAGGGTCGTCTTCCCAAGTATGAGTATTGCATCAGACAGCTCACTAGCTCTACCACAGACTTCATAAGAGGAGGATTCCCAGTCCTAGAAAAGAACCCACTGAACTGCACCATGTTCCCTGTCGGCATCCTCTTGTTTTGTTTTGTTGTTGTTGTTGTTCTGGGTTTTTTTTTTTTAATGTATTTTCCTTAGAACTGTTAGCTGACACCCTCTCCCCGACCCTTTCCTTCTGATGGTGCCGTAGATATTTCCCCTTTCTCTAATTTGTGTGTCCTTATTTATCGTCCTCCTGTATTTCTTTCATGCCTCCCTATCTCCAAGACTTAAGAAGAAAAAAAAGGAACCCCGAATTTAGTACCGCGTACCAAGCAAGGTTGCCCATTTGTGAGCTCTACTGCTGACCACAGTCGATAGAAGCTTTGAACGAGAATTGACAGAAGAGTGATAGGGCACAGTAAGGACTTCCCAAAAGGAAGCTGGTGGGCAGTTTAGTGATCATCATGTGGTAGCAGACAGTGTCCCAAAGAGGTAGGTAGGCTGGAGCTGCTGCCCGAGAATTTGTAGCCCTGTAGCGGGAGGTTGGGGCGAGCCAGTCCTCTAGCCATCCTTCAGGGCCCCTGCTGTGATGACCAGACAGCCACGTCCTCTCAGTGGCTTTGGTAATAGTGATAAGAACAGTTCTTTGTTGCAACACACGGAGCAGTCATTCTGGGAGGGAATGATCCACTCATTGGTAAAACCAACAGTGAACGTCTCGCAGATGCTGTGTTAGGCTCCGAGATGACAGGAGGGAGAGTCTTGTCCTCAAGGACTTCATGGGCTATTTAGGAAGAAACGGCCATATCCAGTAAACCAGTTTGTTAGGATAGCTTCTCCATTTATCTCAGCTCAAGGCTTGAGGGTACTTGATCCTCCCTAAAGAAGTCTTTAGAGAGGAGGGCATGTGAGCTGGACCCGGAAAGTTGAGTAGGAGTTCAGCAAGGATAGAGGTGGCCACGGGCCTTCGTGGGCAGGCGAAGGAGAAGTCGGGGAGAAGTGCCAGCCCCTGGCAGCGTGCAGCCTGCTGGTTGCTCCGTGATGTCACATGACTGCAACATAGGTTCTTCGGTACAGAGACTACAGATGCGCTTGGAGAGGTAGCAGCGACCATATTTTTTAAAAGAATCTATAGAGCAGGCTAAGGAATTCAGAATAGTGTCCTGACAAGGTCCTTAATCAGGGCAATTATATTTTAAAATCAAATCTGTATCTCACAGATACCTTGATAATGACATTATGGCAGATGGATTGGACAGAGACAAGAGTTCAAAAGAAGACAAATTAGAAAGTAATATAAATTCTCTTTCCTGTCCTTCTGCTGTCAGAAGTCTACACACAGGGTGCAGTCGCTCCCATAAATAGCTTCTCAGCATAATGAATGCGATCTGTTCTACATCCAGTCATTTACTTTTTTTTAAATATAAAATGATTATAAAAATACTACTTCAGACTCCTGTCGCTGCCATAAACAGGCCCGTCTTGCAGATTGTGTCATCTAGTAATGGAGGCTTGGTTTCCGTTGCTCTTCGTGTTTCCCTGCAGATACCCACGCCACCCCGAGGCTAGTAACGGGGTGACCGAGTGTGACCCAGATAATCCTGCGGCGCTGTGGGTATAGGCTCGCCAGGAAGCAGTGATTTGCTGTATTATAAGAAAATGGGGAGAAGCAGAAAGGAAGCCGGGCATGGAAGGAGGAAGGATGGAGAGGGAAACCAGAAGTGCTCTGTGGACTCCCAAGTGCTAAACATAGGTGCGGAATTACTATTGTGTAGGCAGAGGCAGGCTCGGAAGTCAAAACCAAGTAAGTTTGGACCTTGGTACAAGATCAAGGTCTAAATTATATGTAAATAGGCATATATTTATTCATACATACTCTGGATCCAAAGGAAATACACTAAATTTTACTCAAAGTGGGAGTAGAGGTGGAGGCTGGGTTTTTAGGGTGCTCCTGTGTATAACAACCCAGAAGACCCTGGAAAGACTGAGTCAGGGACAAACAAGTCACAGAAACCCCAGGGCACGGGAGGTGGATGACCTACAGCAGAGGAAGGATGCACAGTTGAAATACTTAAAAATTAACACAGTAATGAATATTTCTGTTTGCCTGTCTTACAAGTAGACTGTTTATCAGCAAGGCTGAAGCCCCTGTGAGGGCCGCTGGGTTCTAGCATCTCTCCCTGCACCACATGTAAGCTCTGCCATCCGTTTGCTGTGTCTCCTCGGAGAAGACTCGGTGGGGAGGAATCTGCCGTTGGTAGGATGAGTTGGAAACGAGACCCAGTGCGAGACTGGTGGGAATCCCCATCGCCCTGCAGAAGGCGTGACTCACACCGACACTTTACACTTGACTGAAAACGCATCTGAAACCCAACTGGTGGAGAGGAGAGGCGTGAGCTCGTCCCCTTGCTCGTTGCGAGATGACCTCCGGGCCGGTCATCCTCCCATTCACCGGGTCTTGTTTCCTCCTTTACTGGGAGGCTTTCTCGTTCCATCTTTTCAGGGACGGGCTGTGTGTATTATACCATCTGTCATTTGTCAGGAAATACACAAGTGAGAAGCACCCATTCAGTCTCATTCACAGAACCTTTACCCCGGGCTATTAATAACGGAGGGTTCTCCTATAAGTGAATTGCAAAAGAAAAATCACAGATGCTGTGTGTTTAAGCAAATACTCATTATTTCCTGGGAAATGTGCCCAGTTGAAAATAAACTCCAGGCCAGAAAATTAAAATCTGTGATCCAGATAAATGAAATCGACGAGTAGTGCCCTGAAATGACCATGAAGAGATTCCCCACATCTTGTTGGGAAAAGAAATAGGTCTCAACCACCCCACGCCCCGCCGCCCCCAAATCCATGAGGTTAGGGCTCCTGATAGATGGGCCACAGTGTACACACTCCTACTACCAAGATGTCTTGAGTGGTTTTGCTGTTTGAGGCCTGAAGCCCAGGCTTGCTTACCCTGCCCATGCCAAGCGCAGAAAAGAAGAACAAGCTGTTAGAGTAGAAGACATTCTGAGAAAGGGCGAGATTAGAGAGTGTCTCTGTCTAATCCTGATTTCTGTTTCGTAAGCTTAGTTGATTGAACTATGTACGTTCATCTTTTGTACTTCTACCTATCTACC